TTTTTTTTTTTTTTTTCTTGTTTGGGCCTCAGAAATTTTAGGAGCATTTTAGGCCTTGCCTTGGTTTGGGTTACTCAGGAAGCAGACCCTGGGACAAGGACTGGCATACAAGTGGTTTATTTGGGAAGTGCTCCCAGGAAGCCCTAGAAGGAAGAGAGGGGAGTGAAACAGGGAAGGGAGGCAGCTGATGAAGGAAGCATTGTCTCGCAAGTTACTAGTGAGGGTCACTGGCGCTCCCTGTCACTGGGGATGGAGAAGCAGCGGGGCACTGTCAGCAAGAGTTTATCCACCAGTTCCCCTCAGTTGACGGTGGGGGGTTCCTCCCAGTGGAATACATTCTCCTGCACCAGCCCTGAGATGGGGCAGGGGCCGGCCCTCTAGAGGAAAGTTAGAGATCTCCCTGTCACTGAAATGATAGGCCCTGGGGGTGAGGTGGGGTTCCCACGTTATCTCCTCCAGGCTTTTCCTGCCAGTGGCTCTCCTTAGAGGCCCCCTGGGTGTGCCACCTTCCTGAGGCTTCTCTGGCAAAGAGTCTAGACTCAGAACCCCTTTTAATAATAATTAGTAATAATAATGACAATGACATCACCACCACACGTAGAATACACTTAATCTCACAACTACCTTGCCAAATATAAACAAAGCAGGAAAGTCAACACTTTCATCTTATAGACAAGGAAACTAGAGCTCAGACAGGGTGTCCCAGCTTCTCTTACATACGTAACAGTTTGTTAAGTAACTCAAGGCCAGAAGGACAGAGTCTGGGGGATGCTCTGGCCTAATTTTAGGAGCTCTCTGTGCCACATGGACCACCTATCCTCAGGGGTTGGTGACTCTCACAGTCACACCCCTCAGAGCTCTGAGCAGGGTCAATATCTACACCACTGCCCAACCACAGGACCCCAGGCAAGCCACTCAGCCTCCCTGAGGTCAGTTTGCTTAAGGGTAAAATGGGGAGAATAATACCTGCCCTGAGTGAAATAACACGAGAACGTGTCCAGTATGGAGCCAGCACATATCCAATAGGTGCCCAACAACAGCTGCTGTGAGAGCCATGGGCAGCATGCCTGCCAGCACCACCGTTATCCAGCAGCAGCAGCAGCACGGCCATCAACAAAACAATGGTTCGGAATCTCTGCACTCCGAATTTCAACTCCATTCCCTTCCCCATTTCTTCTCCAACCTCTGGCCTCCCCACCTTTGCACACAACATAGAAGGATTTGCCACAGTGGTAGGGGTAGACAGGAAATGTGGACGCAGGTAGATGGGGTTGAGACTGGCAGGAGAGAATGAACTTAAGGGAGTCCCACTCTGTTCCTCTTCCCCCATCTCCACCAGTGGCTATGACAGCCAGTCAGGACCAAATCCCCAGGGAAGGAGGGTCTGTCCCAAGGGGGTGGGAGGCACGACTCTGACCCACGGAGGGCGGAGG